GACACTGTTAATAACATTAAATACCAGGTATGTTTCAAGTGTATCATTCTATAATACATCACCTGCATAATGCATTGTGTGTTCACCACATATAGTCTAATTTCATTCCATCACCATATGTTGGACCCCTTTACCCTCTCCATTCTCTCCCCCAACCCCTTCCCCTCTGGTAACCACCATACTGTTATCTGTGTCAATGAGTTTGTTCTTTTTTTGCTTTCTGTTTTATATCCCACATAGGAGTGAAATCATATGGCTCTTGTCGTTTTCTGTCTGACTTATTTAGTTGAGCATAATACTCTCAAGATCTATCATGTTGTCCCAAATGGCAGGATTTCATCCATTCTTGTGGTTGAGTAGGATGCCACTATATATATGTACTGCATTTTCTTTATTCAATCATCTGCTAAAGGGCATTTAAGTTGTTTCCATGTCTTGGCTACCATAAATAAAGCTGCAATGAACAGATATCTATATGAATTTTCACACTTTTTTCAGGTAGATACCCAGAAGAGGGATTGCTGGGTCATAAGGTTACTGTATTTTTAATTTTTTGAGGAACTTCTACATTGTTTTTCATCATGACTGCATCAGTTTACATTCCCACCAGTAGTGAGTGAGGGCTCCTTTTTCTCCACAACCTCTCCGACATTTGTTATTTTTCATCTTATACATAAGAGCCATTCTAAGAGTATCCCCTATTTTCTTAACCTCACCATTCTTATCAATGGCATCATAATTGCCTTACTTTGTTGTTGTGAAAATCTTAAAGTTAGTTTTACTCTTCTTTCTTTTTTCTTTTTCTTTTTCAGCCCCCATCATAAAGACTGCCCATTTTGTAATCAAGATGTTTTAATTTATTTTTTAAACTTATGCTGCTGACCTCAACTGGGACCTTTTTTAAAAAAAATATTGATTTCAAAGAGAGAGAGAGAAAGGGAGAGCGAATGAGAGAGAGAAAGAAGAGAGAGAAAGAGAGAGAGAGAGGAAGAGAATGCATGCATAAATAAATGGGGTAACATTTATTTATGCATCCATTGGTTGATTCTTATATGTGCCCTGTCCAGGAATCAACTGGTGTGTCTGGATGATGCTTTGATGCTCTAACCAACTCTGCTACCCAGCTAGAGCTCTAACCGCAGTGTTTTAAAAAATCTAATTCTTCTCACTTATTCTAAGTCGTTAAACATCAAATCACAAGGCCTTTCCAATAGACCAAGCAATGTCCTCTCTGTAGTCTTTCATTCTATACTGCTATTAGAATAATTTTTTATATGCTGACTTTAGCTGTCATGTGCTGCTCAAGACCAGTGCTGTTTTATTTTGAACCAAAATACAATTCTCTTGTTTGTCCTTTGAGGCCTCCACAAATCAATATTCCTTCACTGCCTTAGTTTCATGGTTCTAGCAACGCAGATCTCATTGGCTTGATCTCACTTCCTTTGTGCTTTATGTTTCTCTTATTTAGAATGCCCTCCCCTTCCCCTTCCCTCCACTCTATATCCTGTCCTATTGAAAATCCAATTCCCATTCTTCAAATTAGGACTCTAAATTTGTCATTCACTCTTTGTTTTTACTCTGTGACCACAATACTGAATTTGCCCTCACTTGCCGGTTTCTTTCCTAGGCATTATTTTAAGTTGACAAAATGTACGTACTCTCCAGCTTTTTTAAAATAACCTCATAATGTTCTTCCACTCTGTATGGCCCATTTCAAGGCATAGAACTGTGGTCAACTGACTTAAAAGTACGTAAAGTGAGAGACTGAAATTTGTGGTCATATTTGCTGTTATTAGTAACCCTGGTTTAGGTTTATGAGAGAAAGTAATAAAATTGCTCTCTAATAAGAGTTTGGCTATTCATAAACACTAGCCCATACCAATTGTTCTTTTATTCTGTGCCCTTACTATTTAGAGGTATTGTCCCTTATTGTGACTTTATCTTTCAAGACATAATTTATTACTCAATAAATCTGAAACCATGAAATAGGTATGTAATTATACAAGTATACATATATCCTCTCTTTAATGTGGGCCCAAACCTACAGGAAATTCCATTAAGGGCATAAACAAACAAAAAATTACCTCAACTTTGATTGGTATTTCCATAGCTCCCTGAAATAAAATAAAGTCTGTTTGTTCTTAATATTTTTTATGATTTAGTGATATCCTTTAGAGTACTATATTTTAATCTCAAAAAGGCAGAGAACAACAAATGTGGTAGAAGGCCATGCACGGGAGAAATGGGTTAAAGAGAATCAGCAAATCTAAAAATATACAGTGCCAGGCTTCCAAGGCAAAGCAGGCAATGATAGAAGGAGCAGAAAGCATTATGGGAACTGGTTTTATTTAACCCTGACACTGGGGGGCAAAGGAATTTCACTCTATTACTTCTTATGAATAACTGATTTTGTTAAAACAGCATCATCACCATCATCATCATCATCATCGTATCATTTAAAATTGTATTTATAGAGGTCTTGGGGCTGAAACAATCTTGACCTATTCTCAAACTCTAAATGGGTAAGAAGCCCGGCTTGCTGGCATGGAGCCAGGCAGAGTGATTAGAAGTCTTGGGGCTAAAATTGTATCTGCAGTTCTGTCATCAACACCAATCTTTGATTCTTATGATTAAAATTATACTTGGCCATAATTATCTATGAAGCCAAAACCTAAAAAGCTCTAAAATTATTTTTTATCACTCTTCTGATGGTAGAATATTACTTGATCTGACCTAGTTTGGTGGCAGAACCTTACCTGAATTGACATAAAATTATTTACAGTTTTTATTTGTGCCACTTAAAGTGAAAATTCATATATTTTCCCACTCAAACAATGTGTTTGGATACAGAATAAAGTTCCAGACCTCTTGGATATGTGATATAATATATTATATGAATCTTGTTACCAGTCTAAAATTTAAAATTTTCTGAATGTGGAAACCTATCCAGCCCCAAAGATTTAGGTTTCCTGATTGTGGACTTGAATTCATTTTCTCTTCTGATTTTATCAGGAAGAAGGTCTAACTTATGTACTATTGTCTTGAAAATAGCTCTTAAAAACCTTGAAGTTTCTGAGTGACTCTACCAAGTAGATAAGTTAGGTTTTATCAAAAAGAACTCTGAATACAAATTATACAAAGGGCCTGAAAATACTGTAAAACATGATTAAATGTAAAGGGGCACAATTCAGAATCCAAGAATGGAAAGAATTTTCCATATTTTATTTATTCCTTAACTTCCATAAAAGTGTGCTGAATTAAATGTACTTACAGATACTCTCTCACACACACACATATATATATTATGTACACATGTACATATTTTATCAATCTAATGGCAAACTTGGGAAACAGAAGTAGATCTATTGAATATGCATGGTTTGTCTCTATACCATGACTTATTTTCAAACTAGATCATAATACTCATTGAAATAAAAGATGGTTATTGTTGTAACCACACTCACATACACACAATCTCCACCTAATATACTTTACTGGCCATTTAGTTTTTCTAGTGTGCTTATATAAAACTAGATTTTTCTTACCATTTGCTACAGCATGGATGGACCTAGAGGGTAGTATGTTGAGTGAAATAAGTCAGCCAGAGAAAGACAAATACCATATGATCTCACTTATATGTGGAATCTAAAGAACAACACAAATGAACAAACAAAACAGAAAGTTAGTTCTTGTCAATATTTTATCCAGTGGAGTGGTGGCAGTGCAATTAGTGTTGTCACCCCATGTATTGTGCCAACTTCCTGAGAGGATAAATCTGGGTGGTTCCTGTTGAACCGGAGGATTCCAAAGGGATCCGAGTTGTACACAACACACTGAATATGTTGAGGGTAGAGCAAGTGAAGCACAGGTTCTGTTATGAGCACTGGACCAGGCCTCACTCCCAGGGAGCTCTCCTTGACCTCTTTAGGGAAAAAGGCTGGCCCATGGCTGTTACAAACAGGGTGAGCACAGGATTTGCACAGTCCATCCACATTTGCTGAGGGTGTACCCGGGCCAAAATCGAAAGCAGACACTGGGAGCTGTTACAAAGTTATTAGCAGGCAGAGGAAAGACCCTTTCTCTAAAGGAACTCACTATGTAGGTAGAGACTCAGGGCAGCCACAGATTAAAGGACTTGTCTAAAGCATATCAATAAAAGAGCACTGACAGTGTTATTAATATGCATTATGAAACTCAAAGGTAAAAACATTTCCAGAAGAAAAATATTAAGCCCTGGGCTTACTGAAAACATTTTGTTTTTTACCTTTACCAAAACCATGATTTTATGTATGGGATATGATTTGCAGAACGTGCTTTGTGTAGAAGTTAAGATGCTATAGTGGGAAAAGGACCACAGAATACAGGTCAATTCCCATCTACAAGAGGTGCCAATAAAGATGAAGGGATGAAATGTGGTCAATGACAGATTGGTTCTGGATTGAAGCCTTAGGCACAGAGACTCAGAGCCCCGGGACTGCATGCTGGCAGTTCTTAGAAACATTGCACGGACTGTATAGTAGAGGCTATCATTTCAGAGCATGGGAATCTTTCTGTTTTCCAACATAATGTCAGAATTTTCATATCCCTTTGCCATGATGTAAAAGGGTTTAATGATTTCTTTTTCCAGACGTCTGCAGTCCTTGGGAATGAAACACAGAAGACAGACCATGCTACACCATGAATGGCAGCACCGTCCTTTGAAGACAATCTCCAACCCTCCTAACTGAAAACCCATGTTTCTGATTTAAGTATGACACAGTAATTACTCATGCAGCCCGGGAGAATTCCAAGTCCCTGCCTATTTGCAGCACTGTCTAAAAACAATCAACTCGTCTTTCAAATTTGACCAAACTACAAATGGTCTGAGAACTCAGTTATCTAATAAGGATGTTCATTTTGGCACTCAGCAGCTTACTCGTGGCTCACAGATGGCTTCTGTCTCATTGTGTATAATCCAATCATCCTGCCCTATTGACTCACACGCTTAGTCTTCAAGAGCAATGGAAAAGCTCGAGGTGACAATTGCCTCTTCTTCCAGATGTCGTCCACATAAGGAGCGTGGCTCTCACCACCTCGTTGACATAGAATGTGACATGGCTCTCCAGGTCAGAGTTGCTCCAAGAAAGAAAAGGTAAAGAAAGAGGACTTCTCTGCATTCTCTTTCTGTTATTGCCTGGCACCGGTGTAAGCAAATTATGTTCTATAAATGGCCTTTCTTTCCGTAGTAACTTGTTTCACTTTTGGCTGGGTACCCTGCAGAAAACATTTTGCAACACCCTTGCTCATATGGTAATGGTGGCATTTAGAGGCACCCATGCCCAAGAAAGGATTCTAAATCATTTAAAGGAGAAAAGCCACAAGATGTTGTTATGAAATAGTGGCTGTTTTGAAGGTACCATGTTACTTACAGGCCGACTTTCTAGTATTAACACCTGCACTTCTGCTCTTCTTCTCTGAAATCATGACAGTTTGTCTTCAATCTTTTTTTTTGGCAGGATGTGGCTTTTATTTTCCCAACTTCTAAAGGATGCATAAGATTTTAGAGGCAAAGTATTGAAACATTTTAAGCTGTAGGTATGTTAGTTTCCTTTTTCCTTGAGGCTAGTGGTTAATAGTTGTGTTTTATTTCAGTATAAAAATACTCTTTCTTAAAAAAAAAATCAAAGCACCTAAAACAAGGAAAAACAAGGAAATATGCAAGGCCTGGAAGCAGCTGGGTAAATTCACACAGGCTTTGGGCTTCCAAAGATCTGGCCTTCAGGGAATGACACTCGTCAGATTTTTACTTAAAAATTAAATTAGGACTTCAAATTAGTGCTGTATTCATTTTAGTAAAATATCAGCGCTATGTGTATTTCTTCATTTTTTTCTGTTCACTGTCATCATCACAAATGGTAAGAAATGTTAAGTACAGCAACAGCTAAGGAAAATTTTATAAATCAGTAAAAACATTTGAGGGAGAGTATTTTTTAACTTATTTTAACAGGATTTTAAACTGTTCATAATTTATGTATAGTTCTGGGATTGACCTAGCAATGATAATAATTGCTGGAGAGATAATAATTAAAAGATAATATCCTTTCCCTTAAGTAGCTTACATAAAGAATGGGGACTGGGGACTCTATATTTAGTCTGGACTTACACACACACACACACACACACACACACACGCACACACGTGCGCTCCTTCTGGTGGAAATGTCCAGGTAATTGCTGCAGTTTTTCACATCTTTAGAATCCCAGAGTTTTATATGTGAAATCACAACCTTAGAACATTAGATCAATAGTGAGTATGTTCAAAATAGGTGAGTTGTTGAAAATCTGAATTCTCTTGCTACATCCCTGTAAGTTATGAGTTAACTTTTCTGAAGTCCTGTTCAGTGTCAATATGATCAGCACAGGGATCACTGATATGCTCATAAATTAATAGTAATAGCAAAAGTGACCTTTTCTTGAGAGTTCCAAGACCCAACAAATATTTATTGAGTGCATACAATGTGCCAGGCATTGGGCTAATTAAATCTCCCCTATCCCTACATTTTAAATGAGAGAAAAGCTGACTCAAGGGAAAGAGTCATGGCCAACGGCCATTTAATTAATTTGCTGTCTGGGGAAATTGCACAGAAACTGGGAAGAAAGCCCAGGTATGAGGACTGCTACGTTGTGCAGAATACAATGCGTTTGTTGTTCAGAACTCCAGTGGAATACACATTTTATAAATACAGTAAACTAATATAAGATTACAATTGTAAAACAAATGTTCATGTAAAACTATCAGAGCCACAACACGTTCCTGCATTTCCTAGTGATTGTTGACCTGAAGTGGAGAGTTTCATCCCTATAGACACTAACAGAGGAAACTACTATTAGGCCGGACCCTGTGCTGTGATACCACAGGTGAGAGAGCCCGATTCAGGATTACATTAGGCATTGCTGAAAGAACCAGGCAGCAGGCTTTCACATGGGGGGGGGGGGGGAGTAGAGGGCAAGTAGAGGGCTAGGCAGATTTACACCGGGGCTGAAAACAAAACTCCCATGAGATTTTACAGATGAGTCCCAACAAAATGATGAGTGTAAGTGGCCAATGTCACACCTTGCCAATGAGGAACTGGAAAAGAAATCCTAGTGTAATCTGACCCAGGGCCACATTTATAATGAATTGACCAGGGTGCTCACTGAAGTGGGTTTTCATCTCTTCAGTCATTATTATTAAAAATATATTTATTGAACACTTAGCAAGAGCTAAGCATCATTTTTGTGGCTGAAGAATTAAATGCGATTAAGTCACTATCTCTGTCTTTGAGAGTCTAGGGAAGCGGGCACCTCCATAAATAATACACTACAACACATGTGGTCAATCTGGAAGATATATGCACAATGCAATGAATGCAAAGAAGTAGGGAGGGGGGGTTCTGTCCTTGAGTAGGGGGTGGAGTGTGACCATGATATTGAGCTAGACTTTGAAGAAGAGGCAGTATTCCCTCTGTGGAAAAGAGTAAGGCTGCTCTAGTTAATGGGAACGCTGAGGGTTTCCAGGTTTCATAGACTTAATGGAGGAGGTTATTATAAAAGAACCAGGCCCAGGTTTCACAGGGGAATTCACCTACATCTGCAGAGGTCATATATTCCCAAGACTACTCAAATTATGTCTGAGTATAGGAAAAGAAGAAAAGCCACAAGATGTTTTTATGAAACAAGAATTACATTATCATCTAAACTTTGGTTACATCAATAGCAAAAAAGAATTTTAAGAATAAAATTACCAGGAAGTATGTAAAGAAAAATTGAAATATTTTTGAAAGATACAAAAGTACATTTGAATATATTTGGAAATTATTTTGGGATAGCATGAGTAAATTATAAAGCTATATTTATTTCTATTTTAATAATAAATTTAGCATGACCCCAATAAAAATAATAAATTTGCTTTATGAAGCTATTTAAGTCGATTTTGAAGCTTATATGGCAAAATAAACAAAAATAGCTAAGAGAAGACTAAAAAAAGAACAATGAGAAGTGAGTATATTAAAACTTATTATAAAGCATCCATAATTAAAATAGTGTGATATTGATTCACAAATAGATAGAAAGACAGAGAGAATAATGGAAAAAAATAGAAAGTTCACAAATAGACAAAATGCAAATAGAAATATAGTGATGACATTTTTAGAATGTCAGGATGTGACAGAGAGCAAGGAAGTACAAAGAAAATGGTGGAAATATGTAAAATAAACACAGAAGGTATCTTGTAGTTGCTCAGACTAGTCAAATTTGGGACAATTTCAGCATCAACAATTATAATATTAATGCATTATATCATATAGAGAATATAAAAGTCCAAGGGTTACTGAAAATAGACAAATAAACAATAAATGCATACATTCAAGAGTAAGAAGGAAAATCTCTTTATGGAAAAATGTGTACTAATATATGGAAGAAAAATATAAAATAAAACAATTACCATTTTACACGCCAATGTAATAATTGACTTAGACACGGTACATATATCAATGGATACTAAAACCAAGGGGTAAAAAGTTTTGGGGAAACAAGATATCCACATAGTCTCAAATGCTGCCTCACAGATTACTTATGATTTACAAAGGACAAGCAGTACAACTAAAATAGAGATTTGACAGCTGTCACCTTTACTAAGTGATCAAAGTGACCATCACCAACAATGAGACAAAATGATATTATGTGTCCCCTCATAAGATACAATGGGAAATACACAATATTACCTTTGTAGAATTCCTCCCTAAAGAATCTAATCAAGAGAACCATCAGACAAATTCAAACTATGACACTAGCCTGGCCGGCATAGCTCAGTGGTTGAGCATTGGACCATGAACCAGGAGGTCACAGTTCAATTCCTGGTCAGGATATGTGCCTGGGTTGTGGCCTCGATCCCCAGTGTGGAGTGTCCAGGAGGCAGCCAAACAATGATTCTTTCTCATCATTGATGTTTCTATCTCTCTTTCCCTCTCCCTTCCTCTCTGAAATCAACAAAAAAAAATTATTTAAAACAAACACAAAGAATGACACTAAAGAGATATGACAACCAAATGTAACGTGAAAAGTTAATTGATTCTTGTATTCTCAGATTTTGACTATATATATATATATATATATATATATATATATATCCCCTAATATACATATATTAGTATACAGACTACATATTATTTATCTCATACAAACTTGCAGCTAGTACTAAATAAGTTCTAGAGCTCTAGTGCACAGTTTAGTGAACAACACAGACAACAATATTGTATTATAATCATCAAATTTGCTAAGAGACTACATCTTAATTATTCCAACCACAGAAAAAAATGATAATGATAGAGGTGCTAACCTCACTACCATGGCAATCATATTACAATACATCAATGTATTAAATAAAAATGTATACCCTAAATTTGTACAATGTTATATGTAAAATATATTTCAATGAAAAGTGATAAAATGAATTTTAAAATAAAGAATGAGGATAGAAGGAAACTAAGGATCATGAGGGAGGGGAGATTGTGGGACAAGGAGTGGAAGATACTTAAGGGCAAGACAGGGATGAGAAAGATGGGCAAAGAGAGAAGAGATTTTGTGGGCGAAGACAAGTCTACAGGCAAAGAGTAGGAGGGGCTAAGGATGTAGTAAGGAGGAGAAGGGACAGTGGGGTGTGGGATTCTGAAGGTCTCAGAACCCTGTAGTCCTGGTTTCCTGTGCCCTCTTAGGCCCAAGAGTCTATGCATTTTTAGGCAGTTGAAAGAAGTAAGTTCTTGGTAAATCTGTAAACTTGGTCCCTGTAGCCAAGGTTGTTGTGTGTTCTGTACTACCTCTCTTCTCTTCTAGCCTTTAGTAGAGGGCTCCTTCTGCACCCAGGCCAAGCAAAAGACTTGGTAACTTGGTCATTCAGAGAAAATGAATAACCATAAAATGTTGGCTAAACAAGATGACTTTTTAAAAGATTCATAAGGTAAAAGAATAAAGTGAAAAATCCCCATGTGACATGCTAATGTTTTTGTTATATTCACAAGAATATATTTTAAAAGATTAATAGTAACCGACAGCTGTCAGAGGATAGGGCACAGTGGGTTCTGGATGAAAGAAGGTGAAGGAATTAGCCAAAGAACAAATATGAGTAACCCATAGACACAGACAACAGGGGGGTAAGAGTGGGGTGGGGGGAGGTAGAAAAAGGAGGGAAGTGGGGAGACCTGTAATGGTGTAAACAATGGAAATAAAATAAAAAGATTAATAGTAAAGTTCAGCACATTTTCAATTGTTTATTGGCTTTTTAAATGTTTAGTCATATAAATGGCCTATTTATATTCTCTGTCCATTTTTCTATTGACTTGTTTGTCTTTTTTTATTTGTATACATTTAGGTATTATGCATTATAAATATCAAATCTTTGCCTGTGATACGTGTTGCAAATATTTTATCCCATTTTATTTCTTGGCATTTAAGCCTTTAATGCATTTGAAGTTTATGTTGGTGTCTGGTACAAGACTGGAATCTAAAGGGATTTTTCTAATTAGAAGTTAAAATTTTTTCATAATGCTATTTGTTGAATAACTCACCTGGTTCCTATTTATCTGCAATGATTTTTTTCTTAAGTCTCATTATGTGGTAGGGTCCATTTTGGGATCATCTATTGTGTTTTAGCCAATTGTTCTGTGAATTCTTACACACAGGTTTAATTACTGTTGTGTTATTATGTAGTTTTTGGTTCATACTTTTGGAAATTTCTTAGCCATCTTCATATTTTTACTATTTTGATAGCTGAGATTTAGAAACATTTTATCAAGTGAAAATATAAATATTGGCATTTAGGAAGTTTGTTGGGGGAGATGAAGGTGTGTGGTATGAATTTATATACTGTATTAATTCTTGATGTGGATGTGCAATATGTCAGCCTCTCCAGTCAGCACACTTCCATTGTGCACTTTGAAGTCCATCCCACCCCGTGGGTCTCCAGGCAAAGCAAGGCTGGCCAACCCAACTAGTAGTTATTCATTGTCTTTTGTTTGTCAGACTTGTTACCAACAACCATGTGAAGAAGCCCAGGCTTTGGAGCTCACGCCTGTCTTCTCTGCAGGTTGTTTTGCAAAACCTTCTTAAATGTGTCATCCTCGTCTACACTGTGTACCACGTGGTTCTGAGCCTGGGCTGCAGGGCGCTCAGGTAAGCAGCACATTGTCTAGGAAAGGAATTTGCATTTAATACTTCACTTGTCTTTATGAAATAGAGGATGCAGATTTTTTTAATGGTATCTTTTCTTACTGTTTTTTAAAGTAAAAATGAGCAAATGTGCCATCTTTGAAAATGATGGCTGCACACAACTACAGACTTAGTTACAGCAGAAGATGTATACTTAATGGACTCAGATCTTAGACCAGACAGGGATCTCAGAGATTAACGGTTTCAATTCACAGATAAGAAACAAAAGCCAGAGGGTTCCGTGACTTGCCCAAGTGCACAGTTAACAACTCCAACAGGATCAGAACCCTGTTCTTATTGTTTCCAAGCCTGATACTCTCGCCACAGTACTGGGTTCTCCTCCCACATTTGTTGGAGGGGACTTCCAAGATTACAGCTGAGACCTCAAATACAATGAAATACACTCAGTGGACAGTATGAACTTAATTGGACAAAGAAGAAAATGCAGATAAAGAGGTTGTTTGGCTGCCATTCAAGTCAGCTGGTTTTCAATGTGCCACAAAAGCAGGTAAAGCTAATGACTTTCTGTTATATGTGAAGAGTGATGTACAAAACCTTGGTGTGCAAAGTTATGGAGTGCCTCCTCCAACGTAAACTATTTTCATAGTTTACTATTTGTAACATCTCCAGGGTGGATGAGTTGGATGTCTTGGCACCATTTGATTTCAAAACAAATCCCACATGGACCAACAATAATAGTAATCAACTTTAATTTTCAGTCTTTGTCAATGAGTGGACTAATTGCCTCCAAAAACCAAAAACCAAAATAGTTTTTGTTTTATAAAATGTTTTGAAATATCAGGCCTTTCTCTCAGTCATCTGTATCTTATACCTGACTTCAAAAATGAATGTGGAAAAGCACTATACAATTTTTAAGTGGCTATTTCTAAAAGACAGAATGGGATGGAGTAAGTGGAATAAGTGGATAGTGTTCTTATTTCAATTTTTATTTGTTGGTATTATGGGCAAACCTTTGTGTATTAAGCGCTTTTCAAAAATAGAAGGAAGAATGGCTGAGTGTACTGATGTAGAAAAATGTTTGTGAGATATGAAATGGGTCAGCCGGTGAGAGATAGGACAATGACACGGGCCTATTGGACAAGGCTGTGTTTTTACACAGCAGAGATTAGTGAAGATCCCAGGATGCCGGCACAATTTACAAAGTCCTTTCCTCTCACAAAGCACTAACATTTATACAAAGATATCAATAAACCTCCAACCTATTAGAGCTTTAATTTGGGGCTCAGGGAGATAAGTGCCATGACTCTTCAAAGTTGTTACTGTGAGAATCCAGACTTGTTTAATCTTGGAGATAAAAAATGTATGAGTAATCTCAGAACCTTGGGCATGTATTTGGGGTCAAGTTTCTTGTCTGTTGAAGCAATTTTGTCATCCAGAGCTGATGTTTAGGAAGGACACGAAGAGTGTATTGCAGAAAGTAGATTGCAAATTGCTTTCATTTTCAATTAAATTCCTCCCAACAACTTTTTGGGGTAGATAAATAGTACTCCGTTTCCCAATTCATAGAAAAGGAAACCGACTGAGCCAGAGGTTAAAATCCTGCTCAAGGTCTTATAACTCTTAAGCTATACAGCCAGACAAGAACACCGGTATCTTGACTTCCAAATTTGTACTACGTCCTTTAAATCATACTTTTTCTCATATCAGAAACAAAGATATTTTCTATCGATATATGCAAATAAAGTTTGTTCGAGACTAAAATCACTATCTCTGAGCAGCTGCGAGTTAACCTCTAAAATCTGTACATGCTGATAAAAAGCCCTCTCTAGTTCTCTCTTTTTAAAAAATTTCTCCTGGACTGTGGGTGTAGTGGTCGGAGCCTCACAGGGGAGGCGAAGGTGGTTGGTGTCAACAGGGGGCGAAGAGGGGATGAGAACCAAGACCCTGGACCACCTCCTGCCACCCTCCAGCAGGTCCAGGTCGGTGGCTTTTGGGAGGAGCTGCACGGCCCATCACCCTGCCCTGGGGACCAGCCGGTTCCCCCCCCCGCCCCCCCCCCTCCCCAGCTGCAGGTGGCAGAGTCCCGTGTGTGTTTGTGTACAAGAGAGAAAACGAAGACAAGGCCAACAAGGCCGCCCGCCAAGGTGAACGTGTATCCACGGTGTTTCCAGGCCCGCACTGAACCAAGTAGCATCCCTGACTTAGCGCTCTGCCCGGAGCCCGAATAGAATAAGAGAAGGCGCACAAAACCAACGGAAAATCATTAGAGCCTAAGACAGAAAAGCTGAAGGGAGCGTTTCCCTGGAGGCAGCAGCGAGGGAAACTCACCGCTCACCTGAGGACCTGGGCCGCTGGCGGAGGCTCCCGTCCTGCACGGAGCAGGCAGATGGCACCTCGGGTCGCTGGGCGCCTGCAGCCTCTGCGAGGGGCCTGGCAAACGCTGTCCCCCGCCGCCGTCTGTGCCGGGATCGCCGACAGCCTGCTGCTCTGGTCTTCCTTCACGACAGAGGACCCCTCCCGCATGGCCACGTCTGCTTGTCGTCCGTGCCTCTGGGTGAAGACGGGCACGGGAGCTGGGAAGGATGGAGACAGGCTGCGGGGTCCCGGGCAGCCCGGAGTTTGCGCGGAGCATCCAGTCCGTGGAGACCCGGCCTGTAACCCTCCGGAAGGGACGGCTCCAGAATTCACGACTCCGCCGAAGGGGCCTGCACTTGCACTTGCACGTGCAGGGGACGCCATGCCTTTGGGACGCTGGTGGGAAGGCGGCTGCGCCCCGCAGGCCTCGCCCAGCTCGGCCGAGTCCCACCCCGCAGTGTCGGCCCGCGCTCTGCACCGCACTGTCCCATGGCTTCTTCAGGAACGACTTCCTAGGAGTTGTGGGTTTCTTGGAAAGTTGAACATGGAAGAGTGAAGAGGGAAAAACGGAATTCTGTAAGTTTCTGCGGGCCAGTCAGCTGCCTACCAGAGGATCTGAGAGCTTCCCCGTTGGGGTGGGTGCCTCTGCGGCCGAATCAGCTAGTGTTTGTGGAGCCCGTGGCTGTGACGAGCTTCCTTCCTCAGCTGCTTGGCCCCCCAAAGAGGTTGGGCCCCGAGAGACCCCTCGCCTGCTGGCACGGGCCCTGTTCCGCTCGGGGTGGCCCCGGGCCGCTGCAGCTGCTAGAGGTGCAGGAGGAGCACGTGTGCACAGTAGGGCAGTCTCACCTGGAGGCCTACTGGGAGCACTGCTCTGCCCAGCAGCTGAGGATAGTCCTCCCGCCACAGGTGTTCCTGGGCCTGCGTGACTCCAGCAGCTCCATCTGGCAATCACTGCTTCGCAGCCTGGCCTGCTGGTCTCCCTACTTGGACCAGTGGAGGTCGTGGGAGGACAGAGAACCAAAGTCTTCAGACACACTGCCCCAAGTTTTACAAAAACGATTGACCAGAAGGTGAAATGCTCTTGGTGTGTAGGTTCTTCAAGAAACCTTTCTTGCGATTCCCCCACGCACCTCATCTGCAGCCAGCACAGGCAGACCTCACCCGCCTTGGAGAACCGCTCTGGGGTATTCCCTAAAGGTGATTTTTCTGGCGACAGGCCCATCAGCAACAAGAAGCAGGAACAGCAAGATTCCTAGACCACTCCTTCCCAGGCAGGTGGGAATAGTGATCGGTTTTCTCAACCTCGGCCATTTCCCATGAATGGACTTTCAGATGTGAAAAATATCTCAGGAGACAGTGAAAACCTCCTGCCAAGTCCCCAAGCATCTGAGGAGTAGCCCGACTGGAGCAATCCTGGGGAGCCTGAAAGTAGAACTGTCAGCACCCAGGTGAGGCCTCCAGAGCCCCGGGGACTGCCAGGTCCTCGCTCACGGACTTGAAGGTAGTTGAGATGTGGGATGACCTTAAGCACAGCAGCCTCAGCGATGCAGGGAGCCCTGGAGGTGGAATCACTGGGGGAGCACGAAGCCATTCCCACTTCTCTTCTGCTCATCAAGCCAATCCCAAAAGAAAAGACCAGTCCTATCCCAGCCCAGGCCCAGCCCCTGCCCCGAAAGTATCATCATGACTTGGTTTAGGAGAGGAGTTCACCATTCAAGTGAAAAAGAAGCCAGCGCAGGACCCTGAGTTGGCCTGGTTTGCTGACATGAACCTGAAATGAAGCCTTCAGGTGCTGTTCTTGTTCTACCTGAACGGAGGACAGAAATAGTGATCCCCAACAAGAATAGTATCTCACCAGGGATGCAGTTTTCCTCAAAATTTGCTGCAGCAGAAATGACTGAGGCGGAGTCTGAGGCTGGGGAGATGCTGGGGAGCTGAACTAGAGAGACAGCAGCTGGTGACAATGCTGTGAGTTAAACTCTAGGAAAAAGGATCCTTTTTTCTTTTAATCAAACTAATACCTCAAAAGCAGGCTCTGCAGACAAGAAAACCCCAAAGCATCCTGTTTTTCTCATACCAGGCGCTTTTCCAGTCTGTGCCAAGGAAGCAAGAGACCTTGGGTGTGGCCCTCAGCTGGGGGAAGAGCCTGTGCCTCTGACTAAGGCCAGGTACTTCTGGAAGTAAAGAAAGTAAATACAAGAACTTCAAACTGAAAAAAAAAAGTATTACAGATGTCCCTCTCTTTCCGCCCCCTCCACCCTACCGCCCCCCCCCCCCCAGGCCGAAAATAATTTATGGTTGGGGGTCACCACAACATGAGGAACTGTATTAAAGGGTCGAGGCATTAGGAAGGTTGAGAACCACTGCTCTATAGTAATGTGGGAGCTCTGTGAGCCACTGGAGGAGGTAGAAGTGGAAATGTGATGGGAAGAGGTGGTGTCAATGAGTACACTTGCTTCCCACAAGCTCAGTTTTAGGGGGGCAGAACATGCTGAAAAGAACTGCATTTCCATAGGATAGAAAAGGCACTAGTATGTCTTGTCCATTCAACTTTTGAAACCTGTTCAGTTAAATTAAATAGAATTAAAGAGGAGTATGTATGAGGCCTTTACAAACAAGGGCACCTGGGACTTGCACTTGGTGAGTGAGTGTCTTGCTCAACCAGTAGGCAATCACTGGCTTGCCTGTTAACAAATTACTTCTGCATAACAGAGCATAATGTGGTGATTTTACTTTTTGCTTTTAAAAACTATGGAGTTTACTTGTCCAGATTTATCAATTCCTGAATTATATCAATATGCCAATCATTTGCTGTTTTAAAAGGAAAGAGAGGTAATACTTATGGAAAGTGATATCATTACTAAGGGACCTTGGTGGTATATATCACATCTATTTGTCACTTTAAAGTTTGAAGGATCTCTTCTTTAAAATCACTATAGTCTTCAAGTTCCATATCAAAGACAAAGGCGAAAGCTTGACCTTTCACATTTCAAGACTCTTAGAGATTCGTGGTCCTGACCTGTATGTGGTCCTGGCTCTTTATACATGTTCGGGAAAACCACTCTGAGACAACTGGTGGATTTAGGAGAGCGCCTCTATCCACAGGAGCCATTTATGAGGCTTTCTTTCATCCATGGTTATCGGTTATGTTTCCCAGGTGACTATCTGAACGTACCATTTTATTACAAAGACTCAAAAGAACTTATTTTCAAGTTAGGTAATGACTGGTACCAAAGAACTGTTGTAGTCCACTAAACTTTAACATTTTTTTTTTATTTCTGAAAACACAGAATTGAATTTTTCATTAGTTTTTAATACATCTTAAAAATGAGACTTGCAGTCCAATTACAGATCAGCATGCATTCGTTACATAGTAACTTTTCTTTATTGCATTTTATCTTCTGAAATGCTAAATATGAAGAATGTGAAACAGAAATTATATGTTGTTATTTTTCTATAAGTCTAAGGTTTATTAAGAGATGAAAAATATTAAAATTTTCCAAATTTGAGGATTGTTAAGAGAAGGAATATTAAGAAAATTTCTACCAAGACTGTTTTGCAGAATAACTTGTAATGGTCCTGTTACCAATTGCATTTCAGAATTATTATTAATTACTCTAATACCAAATAATTATATTCTTCCTTTTATTTGCAGTGTTTTTAGTCTCAACGGAGGTCACCTACTCCATTTGTGGATTGCTTTTCATTCTGGTTGTGGAAGAATGGGTTTGGGATTATGCTGTTTCAGTAACTGTTCTCCATGTTGCCATCACTTCAACTGGTAAGCAAAATAAAATAAAGGAAACAAAATGTATTAAATCTGATGTTGTACCTGAATCGCTTCATAAGAGTAGTACTTTGTTGCATGCATGGTGTACTCTGATGACTAAATAATAAAAACTGATGATGGAAGATCTTCACCCTCTCCCCTGACTCATCCTGCCTGCCAAGTTCTTCTACCTCTTCCTCAGCAGGTATTGCCTAGTTACATCTTCCAATTCAAAACTGTACTGAAACGCAGGGGCTTCCTATTCTCCTTTCACATTCAACTTGTCGTTGACTTGTACAGGGTTTGCCTCTGTTGAGACTACTTTCCTATAAAATCCTTCTTTAAGGCAGAAATTGACCAAAGACGGGGAACTGGAACCCAAGACCTGTACTTGGAGGCTGGCAAACTTCCCAACACCAGTTAGTTATTTTAACAAGATTACTGGGTTCTTAGACTCATGGGTTTTTATTTTCACCTGTGATCTATGGAGTTAGAAGAAAATGGATTCAAATTCAAGTCCCACGTTGTTTTTTTACCAGGTGTTTAGTCTTAGGCAAGTCACAATATCGCTTATATTAGTTGCTTCCTCTACAAAATGGAAGATACCCAGTAAAGTTCCAGCTAGAATGAGAAATTGTCTGACACAGTGTCTAGCATATAATAATTTCTGAGTAAATGATAGTTTCATCCATTCCTTCAAATCTACATGTCCATTGTAACTTTTTCTCCCTTGTCTTCTATTATTTTTTTATTTTTCTTGATTTCAGAGAGGAAGGGAGAGGAAGAGAAACATCAATGATGAGAGAGACTCATTGATAGGCTGCCTCCTGCACGCCCCCTACTGGGGATCAATCCTGAAACCAGGGCATGTGCCCTTGACTGAAATCAAACCCTGGACCCTTGAGTCTGCAGACCCATGATCTATCCACTGAGCCAGACCAGCTAGGGCTATTATTTTTTTTAAAAGCATACTAGTCTAAGTTTGAATGGTAATCAACCACAGTTGTAATTCAAAGTTATTATTATTTGTTAACAACTTAAATCATTTATATTTTTAGCGCTTTCATTTAGTAATGGTATAATCAGTCTTTAACTTAAGAACACACAATTTCCAAATGAATTGCTGTACTCCAGCATCACTGCTATTGGAAAATGCCAGAATATCAATACTCTAGTATCAATTTCCTGAGACATAAACTCTTTCAGTAACTTGGAGGACCATTGAACTCTCATCATCTTAAATCTCAGTTTTATTGTGGGTCTTAATATTTCCTGGAAGACAGCCATAGGATAGTCACAGCAGGACTTGGGGGCATAAGGTGGTTCAGTCCTAAAGGTTGAGATAAGCAATTGGTTCTGGACCCAGAAAAGTTACAAGTTAATTGTCTAACACATGGCACATAGAAAATGCCTAACAAATATTGCTCAATTGAGCTGAGTTCAGAGTGAAGTGGCTCAGAACTCCAGAGAGAGAGCCGGGCATTGAGGACACAGGATGGTCTTAGGACCGTCTCTGAGGCATATCACATCAAATCACCATTGTGAGCTGACCTGAGACCAGGTCATTCATAACATCGTTTCTAGGAGAGAAGTTTCAAATATCTGACTTGACATATGAACTTTACTTTAAGTACAAATTTGGGGGTACCTGATTTCATGAATGTGAATAAAATGTCTCTGTTTTATGTGGATATGATTTGACCAAACAAAAGTATTGCTTTATGAGTAACAAAATAATATGTTTTGAAAATTAACCTTTTTTTCTACTGCAGTTATGTTGGAATTTCCCTTGACATTACATTGGTGGGCTGCTATAGGTATTTATATACACATATATGACATATATATATATATATATATATATATATATATATCATATATATGTATATATAACATTTGTGTAACATCCTATATAATAAAAACATAGTATGAAAATTGTCCTTTGAACCGGGAGTTCATCTGGGAGTTTGACCAGGGGGCAGGGCCAGCCAGGGAAAGGGAGGGAGGCCCTGGCCGACAGCAGCAGGTGACTGGGGGAAGGGTGGGAGGCCCCAGCCAGTGGTGACGGTGTATGTGGCAGGTAACCCGGGGAAGGGAGGGAATACCTGGCTGGCAGCCGGCAGCCGCTAAGGAACCTACCAGTGCATGAATTTCATGCACTTGGCCTCTAATAAATATACATTTATCTATAAATTAGGCCATAAAACATTGTTTAAGTGGGTCAGGTCATTGGACCAGAAGACTGGTCATGGGCTTTATCATTCTAAAATTACAGGGAACAAAACACTGGATATATTTTGTGACATAATTTTTTGGTTCTCTTTCCATATGAATGGCAGTACTGTCTTTATAGTAGTACAAGAATAAGAGAAACTGTTTAATTTCATCTCTTTTTCTCTGCCCACAAATTGCACATCTGAATTTGTCAATTATATATCTAGTAAGAACATTAACCGAGTAAAAGTGGAATTTTCTAAAGCGTTTTCTTTGAGTTAAGACCACAAAATATTTTTAGGTTTCCTCTTTTCAGTAAATTTGGCAATAGTTTTTATCTAACTAGTTTTATTCTTAGTGATGAAAAATGGAAATGCAGCACTTTACCGTATGCATTTCCCTAAAGTTGAGTGTCTGTTTATGATACCAGGATTACTAATATTACCTACTAATCTCTTTACAGGCATTTAATTCTCCACTTACCTTGCATATCCAAGTCTTAGATGTATACTTTTCTCCAATATTCTTAAGCACATACAGAAAACATATGTACAAAGTACTCATATTTTATTTTGTATAAATCTTTATTTATATAAAGATATAAATTTTTGTATCTTTTTTTTCTTTTTAATCCTCACCCGAGGATATTTTTCCATTGTGGAAGAGAGAGGGAAAGACAGAGAGAAATATAGATGTGAGAGAAACACATCGATGGTTGACTCCTGCACGTGCCCTGCGCCAGGGCCCTGGCCGAGGAGGAGCCTGCAACCGAGGTACGTGCCCTTGACCGGAATTGAACCCTGAACCCTTTGGTCTGTGGGCCGATGCTCTATCCACTGAACCAAACTGGCTAGGGCTCAAAGATATTAATTTTTAATAAATTGTAAAAAAAACAACACACATGCTATAAGTGTAAGTGGAAATGATCCTTTCTTTATGAAAAACAAGAACTTATCTTTTTTGGATTTTATTAACACC